TTGCGGCACTTCTGCGTGCTCGCGAGGGTCCTACACGATATTAGGCAAGTATACCAATTTTTTTTTTGGCTTTTCAGTGTATTTTTCAGGGCAAAGTAGCTTACGAGGCAATTCAGAATATGAAATATTTAGACAATGTTATTTCTGAAGCACTTCGTCAACTTACTATTAACTGTTATATATTTTTTCAGGGCAAAGTAACTTACGAAGCAATTCAGAATATGAAATATTTAGACAATGTTATTTCTGAAGCACTTCGATTGCATCCACCTGTTGTAAGGTATGAATAAAAAGTTTCTGATTTTTGTTCGAATTTTTGCTCGAATTTTTGAACTATTGAATACAAGGGAATTGATATACAGGGTATAACACAATGACAGCCTTTATGGTACCCAAATAATTAAGGAGACTTAATTTTAAAATAACTTTTTTTCTCTTTTTTTTAGTGAAGACCTGATATATGTACTGAAACGCAATATTATTGGCTTGATTAACAAGCATTGAAGCATAAATTTAAAACTAAATTTAAATTGCTCGTTGAAATCTAAGTAGTTGAAGCACTGAAACTAATTCCTTAACATCCTATCCAACACTTAACTATTCAAGCATTTCAAATCTAATTTACTTAATTTCATAGATACTTTTTCATCACGTTGGATAGAAGAGCTGTAGTAGATTACGAATTAAAAATTCGATGATTCCTAAAAGATCTAAATTTACCAAGCATTGAAATGTAAATTACTGAATTATTGAAACTAATTCTTTAATATTCTATTCAATATTTTAACTTATCAAGCATTTCAATTCCAATTTACTTCATATAATTGGGAATTTTTTGTCAGGTTGGACAAAAGAGCTGTAGTAGATTCCGAATTAGCAAGTACTGGATTCTTCAGGGATTTTAACTAATCAAGCATTGAAACCTAAATTGTTGAAGTATTGAAACGAAAACTATCTCTGAATTAAAACCTTATTTACTTAATTTCATTAACCAATTTGTTAACAGGTTGGGCAGAATAGGCGTAGTAGATTACATGTTAAAAGGTACAGGATTCCATAAGGATTTAAATTGACCACGCATTGAAACCTAAATTACTGAAATTTTGAAACTGAAACTATCCCAGCCTTAAAACCTAATTTACTTTATTTCATTAACCAATTTCTAAACAGGTTGGGCAGAATAGCCGTAGTAGATTACATGTTAAAAGGTACAGGATTCCTTGAAGATTTAAATTTACCAAGTATTGAAACCTGAATTATTGAAGTATTAAAACTAAAAATATCCAAGCTTAAAACATAACTTATTTTATTTCATCCACCAATTATTTTAACAGGTTGGACAGAATATCTGTAGTAGATTACAAGTTAAAAGGCACGGAAATCACCATTCCTAAAGGAACGACTGTTACCACTCCAGTATATGCTATGCACAGGGATCCAGAATTTTTTCCTGATCCTGAAACCTTCAATCCAGATAGGTAAAGAACACATTTTCTCAGACTTAAAGAAGCATTTTTACGCAAAAAAAAAACATTATTGATGAAGGGGGGTGGAGATTTTACTCCCATTTCTTAACCCAAAAAATCTTTTACAAAAACTGATTTTTTAATGATTTAGTATTTTTTTTTTCATTTAATAAAAACCGTTTTTTAATTGAAAGGTTTATAATATTGTAATTCATAATTATATAGATTTCAATAGTTACAGAGCACTTTTTAATTTTCAGACGTAGCTGAAAAACTATTAGAAAGTGCTAACATCAAAACTCAACATTTTTCAACTTAATATTGTATTATACAGTGAATTCAGAAATCAAACGAAAATTATTTTTTTATTGTGGTAATAAATTTGCTTTAAAGTTCATCGGAATTTTTATTTTTAAGATATAATTCTAACTTTTTAAGGTTTAGTAAGACAAATTTATCTTTAAGGACATATTTTATTTGGAAAACTACACTGGTGATCACAAGTAATAACTGATTCAGATTCGTCTTCTTATTGTTGAAACTGTTTAAGTCTCATGGAAGCCCTGTTAATATGACTTCTAATAATTTTAAATAAAAAATAGTCGTATTTTTAAGATTGCGATTCCTTAAGAACTATACAACTAATTTCACACAAATTTGGTATTTTGCCATGAAAATTGTAATTTTTTTTAAAAAAATCATATAAAAATGATATTAAAAATTTTTTGGCTATTATTAAATAATAATAAAGAAAAGTTTTTACTAAAAGTTATTTTTTAAGTGTAATTATCTTTGAATAAACGAATTCTATAATTGTATGTGAAAATTTTTCCATTCGCTTAAAAATTCTACAGTAAAATTAACATTAAGAAGCCTAAACTTTTGGCCGCTATCCTGTCCTTCCTATTGGGATTATATTTCCCATATTGCAAGTACCCCCTATTATTCAGGGATAGAAATCCAAATCAGATTGAAAGAAAGGTATGTCTATTCAGAGAAAGTACCTTTTTTGTCAGATTTCTTAACTTAAAATATCATCTGTCGTAATTAGTTATCTTATTTGCGGTCACCTCCTCAAACCATTAAGATTGAGTTCTAAATCAAGAAGATGCGATCATTAATTTAAAAGTTATTTTGAGTGGTCTGTTTCAATTTATTTATTATTGCGCACTGTAATTGACATAGTGCTTTCCTTTTATTTTATTTTTATCCTTGCTGTTGTTGTTTAATTATTTCTTCCCTATATTAGTTTCAAATTTCTTTCTTACAGATTCAGTCCAGAAAATAAAGATAAAATTATTCCGTACTCCTATTTACCATTTGGTTCCGGACCTAGAAACTGTATTGGAATGCGATTCGCTCTTTTGGAAACCAAAATATGCCTTACCTATGTCCTAAGTACTTTCCAAGTACTAACTGGTCCAGAAACAAAGGTATTCCTTAACGTCTATTTTTAAATACAAGTATAGTGGGGAATATCACCCTTCTATGGAAAGAACTTCCCTCGTCATTTATCTGGAGCAGTGGCTGTGACTATTGTTACGAGGTTTAATTATTAGAGTTCATATTTAAAACAGGTTTTGGGTCAGGTCGGTGGGAACAGGGACTCAAGGAGAGAGAACCTTCTTTTCTTTGAAATGCGCTATTTCTTGTTTTCATAGAAGCGGGTGGCCTTGGACAACATGTCGAGGGAACTTCTTTCTATAGACAAATTATACATCCCACAAAACAACTTGTATATTTCCCACAAAGAAAAACTAAAGAAAGTGACACATGTAATTTCACTGAAACTTAAATAACGCTCATCATGAACTTCACTTGCTATATTTTCTACATTATGACAACAATCAGATTAATCCCTTGAACTTGTGCACTCGAGGTTGTTCGAGCTCGCTGAACAGGCCAAACTGTGCACACTCGAGATAATTCGAGAGGAGTTGTATTTTATGTTGCAATAATTTTTCACACTCGAATATAATCGAGAATTGAAAATAACAATGTGAAAGCGAAGAAAAAAAATCGTTTTATTGATATTTATCATTTACATAGGATTGTTAGCTATACTAGTCATAATTTAGTTTTATACACATTTTATGGGATCAATGAATCAATCTTGTTCAACGTCAAGCAAATTTCTTAATGAAAATAATTTTTGTTACCGACTCAACAGACTCTAAAACAGATTAAAGAATACTTTATGTTTTGTTCTGAGTTTTTACAAGGAGTGAAAATAACTTCAGATTCTGAAGTTATTTTTACCTCAAATAAAAGTAACTATCGTTTTCATAACGTAAGATAATTTCTATAAAAAATATTTTCCTTTACAGAATTCATTTTCACCTAAAGAAAAATCATTATTGTTTCGTAAGAATTTTCACTTAAAATAAATGTAACATTTGTTTCAAAAGTTCTTTTACATTAAAGATAATTATAGTTACAGAAGATTTTTTTTAAATTCATTTTCACTTGCTGTAAAAATGACTATCGATACAAAAGCACTTTAACTTGAACTAAAGAGAACTTTACAAAAGTTATTTTCACATAAATATTTTAACATAAAATTTCACATAAAATTTCACAATTTTACATCAAAATATATTATGATTGTTATGATCA